GGATTTACCCAGAAGAATGCTACAGAAAACACCCACAGGGCTTTCTCCTGGATGAGGACTCTATACGTTTCTGTCCATACAATTTGAAGCTTGATCCTACAAATGCTGGAGGGCGGCTGATTCACTGACTGATTTGTCACAGTGCAACCTGTAGGTGACAGGGTCACAGGTCTCCTCAAGCAATCAGGATACTTTTTGCTTGTATTCAGAAACTCAGGCAGAGACAGAGATACCACATTTCATGCACTGAAGCCTGGTAACTTGAATGAGCATTTCTTCTCAGGTGTACGCTCATTTGCCATCCACCCAGCCATCCATCCCTCCCCCTCCCCTCTCATCCATAGAATCATAGAATAGTTTGGGTTGGAAGGGACCTTTAAAGGTCATCTAGTCCACCCTCCCCTGCAATAAGCAGGGACATCTTCAACTAGATGAGGTTGCTCAGAGCCCCATTCAACTTGACATTGAAGGTTTCCAGGGACGGGCATCTACCACCTCTCTCGGCAACCCGTTCCAGTCTTTCCCACCCCCATTGTAAAACAGTTCTTCCTCATATCTAGTCTAAATCTTCCCTCTTCTACTGGCGGAGTTTGCAGTCCTGAGGAATTTGGGTCAAGTGAAGAGCAAAGTCAGGACCTTGAATTTTAAGAAAGCAAACTGCCAGCTCTGCAAGAAGTTAGTCAACAGTATCCCCTGGGAAACTGAGACAAGGGAGCAGACCTTTAAGGGAACTTTCTATAGACCAGAGGAGCTCTTGATCCTCAGGAAAGGAAGGCAAGAGACCAGCAAGGCTGAGTTGAAACTTACTGGTCAAACTAAAGGCAAGAAAGAGATGCACAGGCAGTGGAAGCAGGGACAGGTATCACATCCTGGGAGGGATATAGGGGCCCCATCCCTACACAACCTAGCAGTGTTCTTAAGCCTTCCCTAAGAGGAAGGTCTGGCTGGCATATTGGGCCCTCTGTTCTCCTCAGACAGGAGTTGCCTACGGCTATAATCCTTCTTTCCTTCATCATGGAGGTGGGCATTGTAAAGGGCATTGGCCTTTCTGACCTTGGCAGTACCTCCGCTGAAGATGGCCCATCATCCACACCCTCATCCATTGACCAGCCTTCACATCCCCCTGTACTCAGCACTGGTGAGGCCACACCTGGAGTATTGTGTCCAGTTTTGGGCACCTCAATACAAGAGAGATACTGAGGTGCTGGAGCGAGTGCAGAGGAGGGCAACGAAGCTGGTGTAAGGCCGGGAGAAAAAATTGTACGATGAGCAATTGAAGGAGCTGGGACTGTTTAGTTTGAGGAAGAGGAGATTGAGGGCTGACCTCATCGCACTCTACAACTACTTGAAAGGACATTGTACAGAGGTTGACGCTGGTCTCTTCTCACGGGTAATTAGTGCTAGAACAAGAGGGAATGGCTTCAAGCTACAACAGGGTAGACTTAAACTGAACATTAGGAAAGAGTTTTTCACAGAAAGAGTAGTCAGGCATTGGAATAGGCTGCCCAGGGAGGTGGTTGAGTCACCATCCTTGAATGTGTTTAAGAGTCGTTTAGATGTGGTGTTGGGGGATATTAATGGAATCACAGAATTGTTAGAGTTGGAAGGGACCTCTAGAGATCATCCAGTCCAGCACCCCTGCTAAAGCAGGATTGCCCAGAGCACATCACTCAGGACTGCATACAGGTGGGTCTTGAAGATCTCCAGAGAAGGGGACTCCACCACCTCCCTGGGCAGCCTGTTCCAGGGCTCTGTCACCCTCACCGTAAAGAAGTTCTTCCTCATATTTGAATGGAACTTCCCATGTTCCAGCTTGTGCCCGTTGCCCCTCATCCTGTCGCTGGAAACCGTCATCCTTCAACCCACCCTTTAGGAACTTGTAAACATAGATAAGGTCTCCCCTCAGTCTTCTCTTCTTGAGGCTAAATAGCGCCATCTTTTTGGGCCTTTCCTCGTAAGGGAGGTGCTCTAATACCTTAATCAGCTTAGTTGCCCTATGTTGGACTCCCTCCAGTTGTTCCCTGCAAATGGGTATGGTAGGGGAAGAACTTTGTAGAGTAGGATAGATGGTTGGACTCGATGATCCCAAGGATCTTTTCCAACCTGAATGATTCTATGATTCTCTGATACTGTGATCCAGCGAGAGCCTCACGCCTGCTGTACAGAGGCACTCAGGAAGGCGAGGTAGGCAAGGGGGGGGTCCACCTGCCACCCCAAGCATGGACTCCTCTCCACTCACTCCTCCCCTCTAACCTACCGCCGTCTGCCTGCCGGCGGTGGGACACAGGAGCCACTCCATCTTGGGCTTTTTGATGATGGTTGGTCCCATGTCATCCACCCACCCACCCATCCATCCGTCCATCCACCCCCCACTCACTCATCCGTCCACCCATCCATCCGTCCTTCAACCCCACCACTCATCCACCCACCCACCCACCCATCCATCCATCCGTCCCTCCATCCATCCATCCTATTTTACTTTTAGGGTGTAACCCTTCTCTCTCCCACAGCCAGTGTCCTGAGGGCTACTAAATATC